CTGACATATATAACATCGTTGATATTGAAGCAATTAAAAATCAAGTTCATATAATTCCACGCTTTGATACAACTAATAATTATTTAGTAAATAAGTATCTGTTCTAAAATTAAATCAGATTTGAATAGTTTCGCATATTTCAAAATATTTCGCATTAATGTAAATTTGTTTAGAATAGTAATAAAGAATAAAATTAAAATTTTAAAATTTTTAAAAAAAGCTAATATGTTTAGAAAATTTTAAATAACTTAAAAAACTATAAATTAAATAATTCAAGTAATTTTAAATAAATTCGAACTATTTCGAAAATAATTACATATAAAAATTTAAAATATTATTTGATAAAGTAATTTAATTATTTTGAAATATTCCGAAATTAATTAAGTATGTATATTAAATTTAAAATCATATGATATAGAATTGGAATAAATCTAAAATTATCTAAAGTATTTCGAAATATTTCGAAATACTTAAAATCAAAATAAATAGCTAAGACTTTATATAAATTTTAATAGTTTTATAGTTTCAAATAATAAATGAAAAATACAAACACATGATTTATGTTATTTTTAAATATTTTGAATATTATTTGCTTAATTTGCAAAGTTTCGAATAAAATTTAAATTTTCGATTAATCTTACGTTAATTCAATTATTTAACATATTAGAATATATAGTAAAATAATTTTTATAACTAATATCGAATAATTTGAAAATATTTTATTAGAATAAATATTATTAAAGCAACTGTAATCGAACTTAATTCAATATTTGCGAACATATTCAAAACAAATAAATTATAATAAATTTATATTAAAATAATATAATAATATATTTAATAAATATAATAATATAATAAAAATATATACAAATAAATAATAAATATAAAATATAAATATAAAAACAGATAAAAAAATAAAAAAAACAAAAAAAAAGGCATAAAAAACATATAGAAAAAAAAAAGAAAAATAATCAAAAGAGATGTAATTATTATGTAAAAAAAAAAATTTTAATTTTGTTCTTTTTTTTCTGGATGCTTAGCATCTTCTGTTTGAGAATTTTGAGGGTCAGTGTTATGTGAAGTTTGTAATTGGTGGGGTGTAGTGGAAGCTTGTGGATTAGATGTATGAGTTTCGGAAGTATGCGAATGGGTGCGAGAGGTATGTACAGAATCAGGGCTTAATGAGGTTCTGGCGGAGGATTGTGATGGTGCGGCAGCTCTGGCCTTTTTTGCAGATCTTGTATTATATCTTGATAATGATGATTTGCCTCTAGTTCGCTTTTTTCCTCATGGTTGGTTTAATGATCCAGCATTTTCATTTTCAGTATCTGTCAATGGAGCGGAGGTAAATGGTAAACCTTTTTTAATTTTTTCCTTAAATTTGTGAATTGCAGATATATTCGAAATATTTAAGGTTAATTATTTTAGTTTAAATATTAAATATTATATTTTATATACTATATTACTTATAACATTTTTTCATAATCTATTGCTACACCTAGCATCTTTCAATGTCAAATTTTCATAGTGATCGCTAAGCACTACTTGGCATATAGTAATTGTATATGACAATTGAATAGTTGAAGGTGTGGCACCACCAGGCCACACCCTATCGAGAATTCTTGTAATATATGTATCTTGAGAGTTATCAGGATCTATTTTCTCAAAAAGCTTATTATAAGCAGCTTGTGTCTTAGACGAAGCCTTCCAATCCGAAATTTCTCTTGGAGTTGCATTAGCTTTTATCAGATCTAACTCCCTCTCACCAAATACTGAAAAAATTGTATCCTTAATTCTAGATGATAGGGCACTTCTTTGTGAGCAATGTGCCTTCTTAAGCTAAATAAATTATAAAGTTAAGAGCATATATAAAATTAGTTTAAATAAATTTGAATAAAAATTTAAAAAAAGGGCTTTATTTTTTAGCGACCCGTCGCTATGGCGACCCTGCGATTAGCCAATTAAATTCAGTCACATGATCGCAATTTCAATCATCAAAAAAAAAACTTATTTATTAATTATATTATAATAAATACATATTAAGAAAAAAAAAAAAAAAACAATACTCTAATTTATATAACAATCCACACGCCCAACTTATATTTATTATGTTAAGAAAAAAAAAAAACCAAAAAAAGTACAAGTCTAATTCGCACACCAAAGACAACTACAAAATCATATCCAAGACAAGCGATACAACAAATAAATCAGAATCAACAATGAAAGGCAGACATAAAGTGCACAAAACCCACTTATCTGAAGAGAAACACCAATCTAATGACAACTCCAACGACGACTCCAACAATGATTCAAAGAGCAACACCACAACTTAAACACCAAAAAAGAGAATATATATAATAAAAAAAAAAAAATTATTAAGAAAAAAAAACTTACGAACCCAAAACGACACAAAAAACCACCTAAACCATAAATGAATCCTTCTGAACCAACAAAAGAATTTAAAACCCAAAGTATATTAATAAAAATTTAAAAAAAAAAACAAAAAAAAACAAACTACATATCAAGAATCCCAAGAAACTATGCACTAATGATGAACAACATGACACCAACGATGGCAACACGATACAAATAACAGCAACACGACACAAACAACAGCAACACAACACAAACGATGACATAATACCAGCGACAAACCAAAAAAAAAACAAAAAAAAACAAAAAAAAAACAAACTACTTACCAAGAAACTTTGCACCAATGATAACAACATGATACCAACAACGGCAACATGATACAAACAACGGCAATATGACACCAATGACAACATAATACCAGCGACAAACTCAACAAAAAAAAAACAAAAAAAAACAAAAAAAAAAACAAACTACTTATCAAGAATTCCAAGAAACTATGCACCAATGACGACAACACGACACCAACGACGGCAACACAACACAAACAATGACAACATGACACCAACGACAACATAATACCAGTGACAAACTCAATGAAAAAAAAGCATATTAATAAAAATACCAACCCAAGCAACTACAACAACGATGAGACCAGCAACAAAACTTGTGAAAAACAAACTACCAAAAGCCTACAACACCAACGACAAGCAAAGATACTCGTTCATCAAGAATCCACCAAGATGCTTTAACTACTGACAACATAACACCAACAATGACATGACGACACCAATGACAACACCAATGCAACGACATCAACAACTACATCAACGATATTTCAACGACGACACTAGCGAAGAAACTGAATCCAAATCCGAAATATAAAAAAAAAAAATTAGTAAAGCATAAAAAAAAAACAAATAAAAACAAATAAAAAAAAAAAAGATTATCACGATACACAAAAAACTTAGTTATATATGATCACTAATCTCTAAAATGATTGGTCGATTATAAAAGGGTCGCATAGCGACGAGTTGCTATTGTATTTTTGCCTAAAAAAAATATATTTTATAATTTTCAAAAAAATTCAGAAGTAATTAATTTAAGCAAAAATAATAATTAAAGTTTAAATAACATATATGAAAATAATTAAAAACAAATAATAATATAAAAAAAAAAGAAATGAAAAATAAATAAATATAGATTATTCAAAAGGTTTCGAAAATGTTAAAATATTATAAATGATTTATAAAACTTTACAGGTCCAGCAAACTTCGCATTAAATATTAAATTCCAATTGCTTGGAGGTATTTTTTTCCAGTAATCACTTTCGAATGTTTCTAAATAATCAGCAGTTGCTGCTATATATTCTTCTTTACTAGGATAAATACTGAAATCTATTAGGGTTTTTGCAGTTTTTTTAACAGCATTCTATAATAAAGATAATTATTATTAACTAAATTAATTTAATTAAACACAATATATAAAAATATAGTAAATTACTTTAATAAAATTCAAATCATTGATAAGATTAAAATTATCTGTCATTTTAGCATCCATATCTGCAATTTTTCTCTCAATTCGGTTAACTTTTTCAGATAATTTATTAAGTTTATCCATAATAGCCGATAAGGTTACATTATCTTAAAAAATATTAAAAGTATTTAAAAAAACTTAATATAAATAAAAATTAACGAAATAAACTAAAACTATTTTAAAGAAATTTAACCTTCTGAGTAATCATGGACATTACGCAAAGTACTGCGAACATGTTCATCAGAATGATAACCAGACCGAGCAGTCGGAGCTTGCGGTACAGGAGTGCCAGAAATAAGTGAATTATAGAAATTATAGTTAGAAATTTTGCTTAATCTGGATTTTTTGGTTTTTCTTTGCGAAGCCATTTTGAATATAATAAGATAATAATATGATAAAGTAATAATATAATAAGATAATAATAAAAAATAAATTATAAAGAAAATAAAAAATAATATAGAATATGTAAAAAAATTAAGTGATATTAAAAAAGATGTAATATATTCAAAACTATGCGAATAGTAGAAAATAAATAATAAGTGAAAATTTAAATTTTTTAATGTTTTCGATTTAATTGAAATATTTGCAAATATTAAACTATAAAAAAGTATTAACAAATAAACAAAGAACAAAATGATTCGAAAATCAATTTTAAGGTTAAAACTCTTTCCCGTAGATCCCAAAACACTAAGTAAACAAATAAATCGCAAAAATAATTCAAAAAACCATTAGTTAG